TAGTAGTGGTGGTGGTGGTGGTAGTAGTAGTAGTAGTAGTAGTGGCAGTCAGCATGCATCACACTCGTTTACTGTACATTTCATAAATGCTTCGTTTGCTTCACAGTCTTCAGAAACAGCTGAAATGGTTGATCCAGTCTTCTGAAACAGCCAAAACGGTGGATCCTTGAGGGGGGGGGGGTAGCACATATATATATATATATACAACACACACATATATATATACCTACTATATATATATATATACATATATATATATATAGGGTTTAGGAATTGGGGTTATATAGGCTTTAAGCTTTTAGGGTTTATATCTGATTGGGATTAGGGACCTTGACTGGTGCAACTGTGCCGAAAACAGACCCAAGCAACAACGCCGGCAGGAAGACTTGTTCCTAAAACCTAAACCCTAAACCCTTCCACATCAGCTGAGGCACAGGGCGCCGAAGCGGGAGCAAAGCATGAGAACAAAGAACCCACTCATCTGCATGAGGCGCGCCTGCAATATAGGGGCCTTAATAATTAGACTAAGGTTTTGGGGGTTCTTTATTATAGTCCCCAAACCCTGTTCTAATTCTTAAGGCCCCTATATTAACGTTTCAAGGCTTTGGGATTAGGGTTTTAGGGTTTATACATCACGGGGAACGAGGCTGAATTGCAGGTTCATGCTTGCTCTTGCGGCACGAAGACCGACCACTGAGCCCAGAGACTCCAATAACCCTTAATTAAGGAACATACCTTAAATTATAGTAGGATCCCTAATACGATTTAAGGTATATTCCTTAATTAAGGGTTATTGGAGTCTCTGGGAGAAGTGATCAACCTTCACTTTCGAGTCTCGCTTCTCCGATTTCGGGTTTTGATGCCACGGACTTCACACAACCACTCGTTTATCCCATTCATCTCCGACGGTTTAGGGTTTAGGGTTTAGGGTTTAGGGTAATCTCCGACTGAGGTAAACCCCGTTCGATATCATTCGCTATCCGCCATCCTTCCGTGTCTCTTGTCGTATTGTCATTTCCCTTTTCTCATCCACGGTCTTTAACCCTACACCCTAATCTTAGAAGAACTACCCTAAACCCTAAACCCTAAACCCTTCAGTTCGTCGGTGCCGTGCTGAACCAAACCACTGGGTCACCCGGTATTTGCTGCTGCGCTTTCTAACTCTAAGGCCCTTGCCCACTATAGCCATGTGGATATCCTGGCTCGTACCGACCCAACGCAGGTGCAAGAAAGCAATACTGTGTTTTTTAAAGCAGATGCTGTTACTACTGTTGATGATATAAATCC